ATTCCTGAGTGTCGAAGGCGCGGCGTCTGAAAAATATGTCAGAAAGTCCAACGCGAGAGCGCGATTTCTGCGTAAATTGTGCATAGGTCCCGTGCGAGAGCGCGATTTGGGAATAAACTGTAAGGAAATATCGTGCGGGAGCCGATGCTGCTGTTATTGTTTTTGTCCTGAACTCCTTTCACTGAAGAATAAGTATTGTTGACCCCCCCCCGGTGACCAGCGTATTTTTTCAAATGAAGTGCTTCCCCCAGGGCCCGCACACTGTTGCTTTTTCACCGAAACTCACGGGGCTCAACCTGTGTTGCTGGCCCCCGGTGTACAACAACAGCGGCTCCCGCCTGATATTTCCCCACAAGTTGTTTCCAGATCGCGCTCTCTCGCGGGACTTCCTCACAATTTGTATACGAATCGCGCTCTCGCGTGGGACTTCCTCCTAGTTTATTCAGACAACGCGCCCTCGGCGCTCAGGAGTCACGCTCTCGCTGTGGCTTGTCTCGCGATTTACTTGGGAATCGCGCTATCTCTCGAAACTTCCTCGCGCTTCATGCAGGACCCACGCTTCAGCAACCCGCCTGCTCGACCTGGTCGCCTGGGCCCGCCTTCCCGACCTGCCCGCTATGGGTCTGCCCACCCGACCTGCCCGCCTGGTTATACCACTTGTCTTCTGCTGCTTGCCCTCCTCCTGCTAACTTGTCTGTCGCGCTCCACTATTCTCCATCCCCCCTCCACCCGTCTCTCTTCCCTTGCCTCAGGGGCTGCACTAGATGCACGCGGCAGGTAATGAAGATATACCCCCAAGGGGGTACGATCGAAGACGACGACGGCGAGTACCGCGGGTTCTTGGGATATACGTATTGATTGGCACGTGAGCAGATAGGAGCGAACAGTCTTCAAATGATCGCTGCTGTTGTAAACCAGGGACCAGGGGCGCAGTTTGGTGACACCTCGCCTTCATTTGTAAAAAAACAAGGTAAGACACCTGGGAGGAAATTTAAATTAAATCAATAAAAGGATTACCGTTATTCCTGATGAATGAAAACTCAGCAACAGCAACAACAGCAACAACAACAGCAACATCCACAACAACAACAACAACAACAACAACCACAACAACAACTCCCACTACCGAAGAATAACTATTGTTAGCCCCCCTCCGGTGACCATTGACATGTTTTAATGAAGTGTTTCCACCAGGGCCCACATCCTGTCGTCTTATACGGGAAAGTCACGGGGCTCAAGCTGTGTTGCTGGTCCCCGGCTTACAACTACAACAACAACAACTGCAGCAACAACAACGGCTCCCGCATGGTACTTCCTCACAATGTATTCCCAAATCGCGCTCTCGCGCGGGACTTCCTCCTAGTGTCTATACGAATCGCGCTCTCGCGTGAGACCTCCTCGCAGTTTATTCAGACGATGCGCCCTCGGCGCTCAGGAATCACGCTCTCGCTTTGGTTTCTCTCACGGTTTATTTGATCCTCGGAAATTCCTCGCATTCATACAGGACCCACGATACAGGCAACCCGCCAGCTCGACCTGGTCGCCTGGGCCCGCCTTCCCGACCTGCCCGCTATGGGCCTGCCCACCTGATCTGCCCGTCTGGTTCTACCACTTGTTTTTCTGCTGCTTGCCCCCCTCCTGCTACTCCAGATTTCGTAATAAAAGGGAGGGGGTCTGGACCCTCCAAGACAAGCCATTTCAGACCTCCCCCGTGAGAGAACCCTCCAAAACATCGTCCCCAGACCCCCATGCCCTCCAAGATAGCCCGGAAGAGACCCCCCCCCGAAATGAGACCCCCCTCCCTTTATTACGAAATCTGGAGTAACTTCTCTCGTGTTCCATTATTCTCCCTCCCCCTTCCACCCGTCTTCTCTTCCCTTGCCTCAGGGACTGCACTAGATGCACGTGGCCGGCAAGGAAGATATACCCCCAAGGGGGCACGATCGAAGACGACGACGACGGGCACCGAGGGTTTTGGACGTATTGGTTGGCACGTGAGCAGATAGGAGCGAACAGTCTTAAAACGATCGCTGCTGTTGTAAACCAGGGACCAGGGGCGCAGTTTGGTGGCACCTCGTTTTTCCTTGTAGAGACCAAGGTCCGAGCCCCGGGAGAAACACCTTAATTGAAACAATACAAAGTGTTGCCGGGGAGGGCAGCTTAACAATTATTATTTAGGAGTGCAAACTCAACAACCACAACAACAACAACAACAGCAGCAGCAACAACAACCACAACAACAGCAGCAGCAACAACAACGATGACAGCAATGACAACGACAACGACAACGACGACGACGACGACGACGACGAGGGCAACAACAAGTACAACAACAACGCACAATCACAACAACAACCACAGCCACAAGCACAACGACAACCACAACAACACTGTTGTAGTCATCATCATCATCATCATCATCAGCAGCAGCATCATCATCATCAGCATCATCGGCATCAGCATCATCATCGTGGAGACACAAGGTCTCACACGTAACGTCCTCCCGTGCCCCCTCGAACAGTCGCGACACATAATGCTGGGATGGCACGGTGGCGGGATTTGCTGCAAGCAGCCGGATCATCATCATGATCATCATCATCATAACCATCAGCACGATCATAGTCATACTGAAAATCAGAATCATCATAAACATCATCATCATCATCATCATCATCATCATCATCATTTTCATCATCGTCATCGTCATCGTCATCGTCATCGTCATCGTCATCATCATCATGATCATCATCATCGTCATCATCATCGTCATCATCATAATCATAATCATAATCATCATCAGCAGCAGCATCATCATCATCCTTGTCCTTCCCCTCCTCCTCATTGTCGTCGTCGTGGCCGTGGTCATTGTCGTGGGCAGTCGTCGTCATCATCATGCTCATCGTCGTCGGCGTCGTCATCACCATCATCATCAGTATCAGCATCATCATCATCGTCATCATTATTCTCAGAATCATCATCCTTGTCCTCCCCCTCCCCCTCTGCATCATCGTGGTCGTGGTCGTGGTCGTGGGCAGTCGTCGTCATGCTCATCGTCGTCGGCGTCGTCATTGCCAGCATCATCACCAGTATCAGCATCATCATCTGCTTCTTCTTCATCACCATCATCATCCTTGTCCTCCCCCTCCTCCTCTTCTTCGTCGTCGAGGTCGTGGTCGTGGTCGTGGGCAGTCGTCGTCATCGTCATACTCGTCGTCGTCGGCGCCATCACCATCATCATCACCATTATCAGCATCATCATCGTCATCATCATCGTCATCATCATCAGCATCGTCATCATCATCATCATCATCATCATCATCACCATCATCATCATCGTTATCAGCATCATCACCATCTTCATCAACATCATCATCATCATCAGCATCATCATCAGCATTATCAGCATCAGCATCATCATCGTCATCCTCATCGTCGTCATCATCATCATCATCGTCATCATCCTTGTCCTCCCCTCGTCCTCTTCTCCGTCGTCGTGGTCTTGGTCGTGGTCGTAGGCAGTCGTCGTCATCGTCATGCTCATCGTCGTCGGCGTCGTCATTCCCATCATCATCACCAGAATCAGCATCATAATCTTAATTATTATCTTCATCATCATCATCATCATCATCATCATCATCATCATCATCATCACCATCATCATCATCATCATCATCATCAGCAGCAGCATCATCATATTCTTCATCATCGTCGTCATCACCATTATCATCATCGTCGTCATCGTCATCCTCATCGTCATCATGATCATGATCATCATCATCATCATCATCATCATCATCATCATCATCATCGTCGTCGTCATCATCATCATCATCATCATCATCATCACCATCGTCATCGTCCTTGTCCTCACGCTCATCCTCTTCTTCGTCGTCGTGGTCGTGGTAGCGGTCGTGGGCAGTCGTCGTCATCGTCATGCTCATCGTCGTCGGCGTCGTCATCACCATCATCATCACCAGTATCAGCATCATCATCTTCATCATCATGATCGTCGTCATCATCATAATCACATCATCATCAGCATCATCATCGTCATCGTCATCATCATCAGCATCATCATCATCATCATCATCACCGTCACCATCATCATCATCATCATCATCATCATCATCATCAGAATTATAATCGTCATCGTCATCATCACCATCACCATCATCATCATCCTTGCCCTCCCCCTCGTCCTCTTCTCCGTCGTCGAGGTCGTGGTTGTGGTCGTGGGCAGTCATCGTCATCGTCATGCTCATCGTCGTCGGTGTCATCACCATCATCATCACCATTATCAGAATCATCATCTTCATCTTCATCTTCATCTTCATCTTCATCTTCAGCATCATCATAATCTTCATCCACATCCTTGTCCTCCCCCTCCTCCTCTTCTTCGTCGCAGTGATCGTGGTCGTGGTCGTGGGCAGTCGTTTTCATCGTCATGCTTTTCGTCGTCGGCGTCGTCATACCATCATCATCACCATTATCAGCAACATCATCTTCATCAGCATCATCATCATCATCATCATCATCATCATCATCATCATCATCATCATCATAATCATCGTAATCGTCATCATCATCATCATCATCACCACCGTCGTCATCGTCATCAGCAACATCACCATCACAATAACCACCGCTACCATCAGCTCCATCAAAACCACCAGCATCGTACTTGCTCCTCCCTGACCCCTTCCCCTCCTCCTCCAACTCCTCGTCAGTTCGCCACCCTTCCGCCTCCCCCTCCCCGCTCCCGCGGGAAGGGGGGAAATGGGGCGGGACAAAATCGGGGGGAGGAGCGACGAGAGGAGGGAAGAGAGGAATCAGGAGGGAAGTACAGGAGAAGAGGAGTTGGAGGAGAAACAGCATGAAGGAGGTAGACAACGACGAAGACGAAGACGACGACGACGACGATGACGTCGCTCCGCACAGTTCCAGGGGGAGCGATGCGGCCCTGCGGCGTGGGGGACGAGGGCTGGCGCCGGCCGGGCCACCGACAGCTCCGCGACGGCATCCGTGGAGTAAGCGGGCACGTTTACCACCGCGATACCGCGCTTCTTGCACTCCTCGGCGAGCGACCGACGTCGGAAGGACTACCTCGAGGCCCCCGTCCGTGAAACCGTCGCACTCCAAGGGACACTCTACCCCCACCTTCCCAGAGTGCGTCCCGTCCCTTCCTTGTCCTCCATCCTCCCCCATCCCTGCTCCCTCCTCCCCATGGCGCGCCGCTACAGAGCGAGAAGGAGAAGGAGGAGGAAGAGGAGGATTAGGAGGGGGAGGGGGAGGATCAGGAGGAGGAGGAGGAGGAGGAGGAAGAAGAGGAGGAAGAGGAGGGGGAACAGGTGGAGGAGGACCTCCCACTCCCATACCCATCCCCTCACCAGGGAGGTCAGACGGCACCAAGTCTTTGCACGTCTCGTGCGCCACGTGTGCTCAACACAACAAGGAACAGGAGGAGGAGGAGGAACAGGAGGACCTACCTCCCACTCCCATACCCACCCCTTCACCAGGGAGGTCAAGTCTTTGCCCGCCAGGCCACCAGATCCCGAGGGGGAGGCCACCTGTTTTTTTACGGTTTTGCTGTCTCGCAGTCGGGCCACACGCGGGGCAGCGAGCAGGCTAACAATGAGCCTCGAAAACGCACAGCCAAATGCCGAGCCAGGATGGCAGAGGCATCAGCATAAAGAACTGCCGAGACACGAAGGCGCAGGCACCACGAGAGCAAACGGGCAAGTACAGTGGTTCACACCAGCGACGTAGCGCCACAAGATACAAAGCAAACATCCTGACAATCGGGTCAAGAACGAACAAAGACCACACAAATCAGAAACAACCATGCACTGTAAATGCCGAGCCAGGGTGGCAGAGGCATCAGAGTAAGGAAGTGCCGAACCAGGAAGGCATAGGCATCACGGGGTGTAAGAAGACAGAAGCACGTAAGGATAATATTGTCAGGGGGCAAACACTTGAAGAACCTCACAGACTGCGAGCGCTAGTCCCGCTGCTAATTCAAGCTCGCAGTCCGACGCGGATGACCGAGGGTCGAGGCCGAACGCCTCCTCAGCAATCGGACGAAACCGTGTCGTCACCGAACCTCCACAACATTTTGCCGACTCGCATTCACTCGGCGGAGGAGGCGGCATAGGCGCAACCGCCCTCGGCGCATGAGCCAGCGGCGGCATTGCGGGCATCCGAGCACGAAGAGATGCCGGCGGCGATGCTGACGGCGGCCAACGCGCAACTGCAGATGGATCACCCTCCACCCTGCGCTTCGGAGCCGGAGTCGCCCGCGCCCGCCTGGCGTCGGGCTTACTCCCCACATGGCGGCTAGGCCCCACCGCGGCCGCAGGCTCATCATCATCGCAGGCAGGAAGAACAAAGGTCATCCCTGGCGGCTTCGGCTCGGCGCCTGCCCCCTTGAACGCAGCAGTCTCTCTGGCGACGCGCATGCGATCAACTGGAGCACGGTTATCCTCAGCACAAATGCGCAAATGGAACTGCAGCTCTCGGCCTTTGCATCGCTCCATGATATCCTTGAAATCGTCCTCGTCATATTCTGGCCCCTTGCGCGACTTCCGCATGGCGCGAATGTATCCTAAGACCATTTTCGCAACATCTTCACCATTCGCGTCGTCATGAGCACGGGGATGAAAACTGGCGCGGGAGCGCTTCTCCTCGCGACGAGCCTCACCGAAGCCACCTGCCTTGGGACGACGCTCGGCAACTGGAAGTGCAACGCGCCCTCGGACTGAAAAGGGGGTCCGCCGCGCCTCTGGACAGCGCCTGAGATCACGCGGACCATCTGACTCGCGGCGTCCGCGGCCATCTCGACAGCCCAGGAGGGTCTGCGGCAGCTATCGCCACGACGCCCACCACGCGTTTTCTCGCCCCACTGGTGGTCGCCGAGGTGGAGCGAGGCATATACAATGTGTACTTCCGACAGGTACTGCTTCAATCCATGAGAGATTGCAACTGGGCCATGTCTACCTGAGCAGCAAACTGACTCGCCCTTGGAGCAGCGTGAGGTGGACCAGCCGAGATAGCCCGCGATGTCGGGAAAGTGGCGGTACTCTGCAGACGCCGTCAACATCATTGGATGGACTCCGATATGACGCGTGCTGTGCGGATCGCCCAGCTTCCGAGCGTCGAAAAAAGATGGCTCTCTCGGATTCGCAGAGCTTCGGACAAGATACAACCAGGGCGTCTAACAACATCCTTCCGTCCTCCCCAGATGCGCTTATGCCGCGGCTCTTCCCACGATGGTGACTGGCAAGATGCCCGGTGAGCAACTTAACGCCTGCGCCTGCAAGATGACTCTCGAAGTTGTCCTATCCCACGGCGACAACCGCAAACGTTCAAAGGACGGCAACTCGACGGGGGAAGATGCACGGCGCTCGCCCATTGCTGAGAACCTGTCACCCTCGCCGTCGTTCTGATCCAGGTTCGCCCGCCGCGCGGGCTCTGGCTCCACGGGAGCCGTCGCGGCCGCATAGGAGATGCGCAAAAGACGCAGAAGATCAGGAACGCGGTTGGGATCAAACTGATCCAGGCGAATGACAAGGAGCTCAGCACGGCAACAACATCTCCACTACGGCCTCCAGATCCAAAGAGTGGCGCGGACATTGGCGAGGTCCTCAACGACCACGAGCGCCACCTGCGCAGGCAACGACAGCAGGGGCGGCGCATGATCTCGATCCTTCAACTGACAGGACCCGAGAGCACCTCAAACTGCACCACGACTGCCAACGATGCGGCATGGGCAACGCTTCTCACCCGTCGCTGAACCGCCGGCCTGAAACCCCCATGCCAGAATAAGTCTCACGAGTTCCGTTGACCCACTCAAGATTATGCCCGATCTTCTCAAACTTATCCCCTGCATTGACAGCCCAAGCTTTGCCGCGACAACATGACTCGCACCCTTCATCCAGGACAGCCCATCCACTATCGTCCTTGGAGACGTCTACCTACCATTCAGAGCTCGGGCATCGCCGACGAGTTGGTCGGCGCGAGAGATGACGGCGCCACGAACGCGGCGGAGTCATTCTCGGCCGTATCGGAGAGACAACCGCGAAGCAACGCAGTCAACTCGCCGGCGCCGATGTCCCCCGTGTCCTGACGGATCGCCATAGTACGCTTCGCGAACATCTGCAGAACGACCTTCAGCTCCTCAGCACCGATGCGACGGTCACTCCCCACGATCTTCCCGAGCGCAGCAGCCTGGAGGTCGGCGGCTCGCTCGACCTTCCTCGCCTCCTCCATCTTCTCCTGAGCGAGCAGCGAACCCCGTTGGTACCGCCCCCATTGTCAACGTGGACATGGGGGCACTCGCCCTGCTGGCGCAACCCCTCGCATCTCTCCCTCCTGGTCTTGCGTCCGCAGCCCCTGCAAGTGCGAGCAATGAAACGAGCCGACGAGCCGGCACCCGAGAAACTTATAAAACCGCAAGCACACGGATGAGGAAACGGCGGCTCTGGGGACCCCCCCTGCTCGTCGAGCTGCCGGCGCCTAAACTGACGGGCGGGCGCGCCATCTGCAGGGCGACGCGCGGTGCGACCATTAGCCAACTGAACGATATGCCCATCAAGCCACGCTAAGGACGATTCCAACTCCTCACTCTGCATCTTGACGCCATGACCCCAGAAGATAGAATCGCCCGTATCTCTGAGCACTCTGCCACGCGTGAAACCGCTATGCTGACCAATGATAAACGTCGCGCCATGCACAGAAACCGCAACCATCACTTGAACGGGCGTCGCCTCCAATTCCAAAACCGATACACTGTTTAATTGAATAGTTAACGGGGGCATCTGTCGAGGCACTCCGAGCGGCAGCCCGAGAGGCAGGCACGCGAGGAACCACGTGCACGCGCAGCCTCTCTCCAGCCTCCGACGAGGTCCGGGAGCTGCCTCGCGCCGCGGCCGCGCGCGCGCTCGGGGCCGCGAGCCACAGCAGCCGCGGGCAACAGAGCGCCCTCCAAGCAGCTCTCGCAAAAATGCTCATCCACGCGTCCCTTCATCAAACAACACTACCTGCTGCACCTTTCTCCCTCGCTCAATCATGCTCTACGACAATGCACAACATGCGGTGAAAAGCAAGAACAGAAGGAGGTTGTAGCGTGCGGTGTGTTACTGATGTCGTGATGATGGCGGATGGTGGATGATGCCGCGACAGATCCTGCGGGCGCGAACTGTTCGCCGCCCCCGTGCTCGCGAAACGGGAGCGGTCGCTCGACGGCATACGCTTTCATGGCCGTCCTGGGATTGCCCTGGCACTCAGGGTCCCCAGACCAATCGTTACAGGTCTTACACGCTGATCGTTTCTTGATCTCCTGGGGGCGAGCCTCGCGCTCTTCCAAGGCAAGCGACCCCCTGCCACCGCATTTGGACGATGAGGGCTGCCAGCGGTTAACTTTTTGTCCTATGCCTCTGCTCTCGCCTCTTCCTGCGGCGCCGAACTTAACATCCAACTCGTCCCCGCGTAGATGGATCATCGTAGAAACTGTTTCTTCCGTGTAGCCGCGTTTGACCATGTCCCCATTAATTCGTCGACAAGTTCGTCTCCGCACGGCGCGGGTGTCCAATCAGCGCGAGGGTCGCCGTCGACCCAGGTTCGGTCGTCGCCCCCTCCATACTCAGGTGCGTAGCCAGACGCGCAGTGGCCATAGGCGCTGAAATCCTCGGGGTAATGCTCCTCCTGCTCCTAGCAGCTGTCGCTGGCAGCGTGGTACGCCTGTGGCGGCCTGGAGCACCTGGCCTGGCCTTTGCCCTTGCTAGGGCTTCGGGGCGTCCACTGAGTGATGGTGGAGCTCTTGCCCAAATACCATTTGCCCTTCTGACGGATGAGGATTCGACTGTGCTGAAGTATCGAAACGCCGTTGATACTGTCAAAATTGGCCACATTGCCCGTTGATGCCATTACCGCTACGTTATGCGAAAGCAAAGGTCCTGCATGATCCGAGAGAAGATCCAAGCATGTCGTCACTCATCTTGAGGCCCGGTCCAAGCTTAGAAACAAATGTCCACCAGCGTTGTCTGCGGGATATGTTCGAAACCATGGACTCACCAGTTATGTCGGGAGATTGGTCCGTAGGGTCTGTGTCCTACTTGAAGGTGGACATTGGTTTCCTAAGCAGCTAAAGGGAGCCAGGTACGAATCGTCTTCATCACCAGATCGAGGCCTGTCATAGTCAGAAACGCGCCCTTGCCGATGTCCATGGCTATATCGAACGCGTCGCCTCTGAGGCCCTCGATCGCCTTACTGACTGCTGGCGTGACGGCGCGGTGTCGGGGCTGTCCCGTTGCAGGGGAAACGGCGGCCAAGGCAGCACTCATGCGCATCTATCTGTGCGGAACCCCCATCCATGGAGGTTGTTCACTGCGCCGTCACAGATGCAAGAGCCACTTTACACCTCCGATGTCGTCAATGAATCAGTATTGGGTCTACAACAAAGAGAAGACAATGCCACGGCGCAAGTAAGCGCACAATAAAATAACAAGACAGTCGACAGTCCACTTGCAAGGATCAGTGGTCAGCCAAAAAGAACTGATCGTGCGGGAGTTTCTGCGGAGAGACGAGTCCTGCGAAGTAGTGCGGTCGCCGAAGACCGCATAGTAGGCCACGCTGCCAGCGCGACGCACGATGCTTCTTGTGCCTCGGCAATAGGGGCCCCTTGAGGATCAAACGGCAGCGAGCGGCGCACGCACGTGTCATGCACACACACAAACACATACATACACACACAAACACACACTCTATACATATATATATATATATATATATATACATATACATATACATATACATCTATATATGCGGGGGCGGGGCAAAGGGCTTGTTTTACAGCCCCCAGGCGTCCTATCTTCTCGACGGGAGTGGTGAAGCATCCTCCCGGATGCATCCGCGTTTCGCCTGAGACGCCCGCCTCAACACCCGCGTAGATGTCTCCCCCATGGAATGTTACCACCTACCCTTTTCCAAAAAAACAACGCGCGTTGGCTGCGCTGGGTCGTGACACTCGTTCGAAAATGAAACAAGGCGATGGGCCGGCGCTGACGGGCAACAACAAAATGAGCGCGCAATTGACCAAGATTTGACAACCAGCTACGCTACGCTACTCCCAATCGGCCCGAATGCCGCGCCCAGCTAGAACTCGGGGAGAGTAGATCTTCACCGTGAAGTTCGACACTACACTACGACACTACACTATCTTCACTAGTGTGCTGATATCATGTCCACGCGACAGCGACACTACCCTACGACACTGCACTAAGGTTGAGTCTGGTGTCATAGTGCAATACCAGAGGATACCAGGTGCGACACTACACTATGACACTACAGTACGGCTAGGGACGGAGAGACGGACGTTGTTTTTCTGTTTGGTGTTCCTTAGGTTTGTTCACCTCGACTCCGCGGAAAAGGTTTCTCCTCTGCGGTTAGCGCGGGAGTGCTGGAGGCGCCGGGGTGCGGCACTACACTATGGCACTACACTACGGCTGAAGAGAGGAGACGGAAGTTGTTTCCTCTGTTCGGTTGGCTACGATGGGGGTGGGAGGAGGCGGGAAGACCTGGGAGGAGGTCGGAGGACTAGTTCGACACTACACTACGACACTACACTATCTTCACGAATGTGGTGTCATGTCCACGCGACAGCGACACTAAACTACGACACTATACCAAGGTTTAGTCTGGTGTCATAGTGTAGTGTCAGAGGATACCAGGTGCGACACTACACTATGACACTACAGTACGACTGGGGAAGGCGAGACGGACGACGTTGTTTTTCTGATTGGCTTCCTGAGGTGTTGCTCACCTCGACTCCGCGAGAGGTCTCTCCGCTGCGGTTAGTGTGGTGTCATAGTGTAGTGTTGGAGGCGCTGGGGTGCGACACTACACTACGACACTACACTATCTTCACGAGTGTGGTGTCATGTCGACAGTGACACTACACTACGATAGTACACTCAGGTTTAGTCTAGTGTCATAGTGTAGTGTCAGCGGATACCAGGTGCGACACTACACTATGACACTACAGTACGGCTGGGGACGGAGAGACGGACGACGTCGTTTTTCTGCTTGGTTTTCCTTATGTCTTGCTCATCTCGACTCCGCGAGAGAAGTCTCTCCGCTGCGGTAAGTCTGGTGTCATAGTGTAGTGTTGGAGGCGCCGGGGTGCGACACTACTCCATGACATTACACTACGGCTGAAGAGGGGAGGCGGAAGCTGTTCCCTCTGTTCGGTTAGCTGCGGCGGGGGTGGGAGGAGGCGGGAGGACCTGGGAGGAGGTGGGAGGACTCGGGAGGACGCGGCGGGAGTACAGTTGGGCAGCTGTGAGAAGCGAAGAGAGAGAGAGAGAGAGAGAGGAGAGAGAGAGAGAGAGAGAGAAAAAAAAAAAAAAAAAAATGGAGGAGAGAGGAGAGAGGAAGCCTCCTCCCCTCCGCCGCGGGAGGGCGGCCGCGGGCGCGGCCGCCGTGCCTCCTCCACGGTCTCCCGCGCCAAACGCGGGGGCGGGGACGGGGCGGCGGCGGCGGCGGCGGCGACGACAA